TAGTGTATACAGTAGATGCTTTAAAACATCCATGGTTGGGGGCTGGGGATTTAGCTCAGCGGCAAAAAGCGCCTGCCTGGCAAGCGCAAGGTCGTTAGACCCTGTCTCAAAAAAAAAAAAAAAAAAAAAAAAAAAAGTTTCAAGTCATTTAAAGTACACGTAGGCTCTTTAGAATATCAACACAACAAATATTTTTGAATGTCTGGTCTTAGACATTGCTATTTTGAAAACCTCAGGATACCCCTGGGTTTCATTTCCTCAAACTCGTGTCTACCCTTTTCCTTTATTGGGGGATAGTATCCTTCATTTTGTGTTTGATTCCACTGCCTCTGTTTTTTCACTTTTGCATTGTGGAGAGCATGACACATTCACAAGAGACTGTCAGATGTGTGCAGGTTACTGTCCTGACCTCTGTGGAAACCCTTCTGCTAGCTGGGTGTGGTGGTGCATGCCATAATCCCAGCTCTCCGGAAGGCTGAGACCACAAGATCTCAAGCTTGAGCCGGGCCTAGGCAATTTAGCAAGACCCTGTCTCAAAATTGAAAATAAAGAGGGAGAGCTGGGATAAAGCTCAGTATGGACACCCTGGGTTTAATCCCAGGACCACAAAAAACAAACACAAAACCGTAACGAAAACCTGCTACTTTTCTTCATGTTTTTACTTTCTTTCTTTACATGTATTCCTAAATAATATGTACTGTAGCTTTATCTGATTCAGACTATAAACAAATGACGCCATGCTATGCATATCTTGTGAGGCTGCTTTTGCCCAGTCATTTTTTAATGCTGATGTTGTATGTGAAGTATCGTGCTCTTCACCAACATTTAGCATTCAGGTATGCAAATACACCGTAGTTTATCCATTCCAGTGTTACAGGATACTTGGATTTTTTTAACCCTTTCATTTTTATAAATAATGCCACTATGAAGAATCATGTGTGTTTCTCTGGATATGTATGAAACACTTTTCTCTAGTTATATTTTTATGAGTAGACTTTATGGGTTGTATATAGAGTGTTTGTGTGTGTGCAAGTAGTAGTGTGAGATGTGCCAGAACATTTTTTAATATAGTGGTATCAATTGTTTTTCCACCAGCTGTGGATGGATGAGACTTTTGTTGCTTTACTTTCTTAACAACTCTTGGTATTTTAAACTTCTTGCCTGTGTACATTGAAGTTTTAATTCAAGTATCCCTGATTAAGGTTTAATATTTCAAATATGAGCCAATTTTTTTGCTTATATAGTGTCCAGAATATTTTGCTGAGTTGTCTACAGAATTGTCATTTTATATCTACCCCAGGAGTTTAAAAACAAACAAACAAAACTTATTTTCTCAGTTCTGGGCACTTTTCCTGGGTTATCTGTGTTGTAAGACCTTTCTTTCTGTGGTGTGTACTTCTGTCTCTTGATGGTGTGGTTGTGATCATTTTTGATAGAAAAGGTTTAATTTTATTGAATTCTAATTCATAAATCCTTATGGTTGTATGAAATTATTTCCTACCAAAAATTTAGATAATATATATTTCTTGCTAGGTACAGTCTTAGATAGCTCTCACATTGTAATATTTGTTGTTTATTTTTTACTTCAAAGAAAATAATAAAAAAATTAGAAACGATACAGAATTTCAAAACAACCAAGATGATAAGAATTAAAAAATGGTTTTTATATTGCATATTGTTGTCCTCAAAGTAGTTGTTCAGATTACCAGATTTAAGCATGCAAAATTGGTCAAAAATTAAGCATTCATAATTCCTTTCAGTAAACCAACAAAAAACAGTAATACAATTATCTTAGCTATCCTGTGTGTATTGTGTATATATAATTTTTTCCCTTCCTTCTTTTTCTTTTCTCCTTTCCCTCTTCCCAGTTCTTGCCTTTTGAGCAGTTTCTTTCTCTTTCACAATATCTATTGTACTCTTTCAGATTCTTACATGAGGGGGACAATACAATGTTTACACGTGCAGCTCTGATTTATTTCACTTATAAGTATGGTCTCTAGTTGTGACCATTTACCTATAAAAGCCTTGAGTTTATCTTTCTTTATAGCTGAGTAATATTCCATTGTAATATTCCACATCTTTTTTATCCATTCCTCAACTTATGGGCATTTGGGTTGTTTCCAAGATTTAGCTATTACAAATTGTACTACCATAAACATGGGAGCATGTATATCGCTGTGGTATGATGTTTTCAATTCTTCTGGCAAGATAAACAGAAGGGGAATAGCTGGGTTGAATGGGCCCTATAATCCTAGTTTTGTGAGGAATCTCCACACTAATTTCCACAGTGGTTGTACCAGTCTGCACTCCCATCAACAGTGGAGAAGCGTTCCTTTTTCCCACAGCCTGTCCAGCATTTGTTATTGGTGATTTCTTGATAACAGCCATTCTTTCTGGGTTGAGATGGAATCTCAATGTTATTTTAATTTGCCCTTCTCAAATAACTAGTGATGTTGAACATTTTTTCATATATTTATTTGCCATTTGTATTTTTTTTTTAATCTGAGAAGTATGTATTCATCTCAGACACCCATTTTTGGATTGGATCTTTGAATTTTAGGGGCATGATTTTTTTCAAATTCTTTATATGTTCTGGATAGAAGTCCTTTGTCTGATGGACAGTTGGCTAAATATTTTTCCCAATTCGTGGGTTTTCTTTTTACTCTGTTGGTGATTTCTTTTGATGTGCAGAAACTTTTCAATAAGATGAGATCCCAGTTGTTGATTCTTTCAAGTATTTTCTGTGCAGTTTGGTGTTTGTTCATGAACTCTACCTACCCCTACGTCTTCAAGATTTCTGCGTACTTTCTCTTTCACTGGATTTAATGTTTCTGTTTTAATATTTAGATCTTAGATCTGTTTTGACTTTAGTGCATGGTGACAGACATGGGTCTAGTTTTAGTCTTCGGCATGTGGAAAGCCAGTTTTCCCAGTACCATTTATTAAAGAGGCTCTCTTTCTTCCAGTGGACATGTTTGGCCCCTTTGTCGAAGATAAGGTGGCTGAGTGTGTTTGTAGTTGTGTCTGCATCTTCTAATCTGTTCCATTGATCTTCAGGTCTGTTTTTGTGCCAGTATCATGCTGATTTTATCACGGTAGCTTTGTAATACAATTTCAAGTCGGGAATTGCAATGCCTCCTGCCTTTCCTTTGTTTCCCAGCATTGCTTTTTGCTATTCTGGGTCTTTTCTGGTTCCAGATGACTTTTAGGAATGTTTTCTCTAGATCCGTGAGGTATGTTAATGGTATTTTAATTGGGATTGCATTGAATCTGTACAACAATTTTGGGAGTGTGGCCATTTTCACAATGTTCTTCCTATTCATGACCAAGGAATATCTTTCCATTTTCTGATACCCTCTTTGATCTCTTTTTTCAGAGCGCTATAATTTTCACTGTGTTTTCACGTTTAACAAATAGAAGATTTTTTATTTTGTTAGATTGATTCCTAAGTATTTCATCTTTTAGATGCTATTGTGAGGGGGATGGGGATTTAGCTCAGCGGCAAAGCGCCTGCCTGGCAAGCGCAAGGTCGTGAGTTCGGTTCCCAGTACCGGAGAAAAACCAAAAAAAAAAAAAAAATAGATGCTATTGTGAAAGGTGTGGTTTCCCTGATTTCTCTCTCAGTGTGTTTCTTGCTTGTGTACAGGAATGCTATTGATTTTTGAGTGTTAACTTTGTATCCGTGGAGTTCTGTATACCTATAAAATATGGAACGCTTCATGAATTTGCGTGTCATCCTTGTGCAGGGGTCATGCTAATCATCTCTGTATCATTCCAACTTTAGTATATATGCTGCTGAAGTGAGCACTTTGTTGTTTAGTTTTAAATGCCATACTAAACTTTGTTTCCTTCATCTATCCAAAGTCTACTTAAAAGTGTAGGTTCTTTTTTCTGTCTTTTTTGAGATAGGGTTTCACTATACAGTTCAGGCTGGCCTTGAACTCACTTTGTACCCTAAGCTGGCCTTCAAACTCATGGTGATCTTCCTGCTTCAGCCTCCTGCGTTCTGATGTTACAAGTGTGTGTCATCACGACAAGCAAAAGTGTACTTTGCAATTTCCAAAAGTGTAGGGTTTTCCTAACCATTTTTCAACTTTTTTAGTTTGGTTGCATTATGGTTTGAGAACATGATCTGTATTCTTATTTTTATTGAAAGTTTGAGTTGTATTTATAGCTTAGTCCAGTACAGTATATGTGA